ACATCCTGCGGAGCCAGAACCCCATTTGGCATATATCGGCACAGCTTCTCTGACGTCAGTGAAGATGCATTGATTTACACCAACTCAGAATCCAGCCCTGTGTCCTCAGACCACTGCACAGTGATGAATTAGAATGTCTTCCTTACTATGTACCTTTGATTAATTAATATAGATAGAAATTCAGTAAATGACTCATTTGTTATAGCTATGTCCAGAAAACACAGCTAAAATATTTGCACTGTACCCTGTGATGTGCCTTCTGAGCTATTTCTAGCGATGCAACTACATGTCCTGCTTCCTTCATCCATTGCCGGAAATATTTGGGCATTAACAATTAAGGCCACATATACTGATACTGTTTTTAACATCTGTTGTAACTTTCTGGTGCCTCTCTCCTAGGATTTACTTCACCAACTTAAAATAATCACATTGCCAATGGCCACAGCCCGCAAATAAGGAAACAGAGAAATACATATTCTCAGAGACGCTGCTCAAAATGCAGAGGGAGAGAGTGGGGTGGGGAGGGAACTGGATCTAAACTACCTGTATATTCAGACTGCCCATTTTACTGAGACGGGCAGTAAATATAGAAAGATAAAAATTGGTAGCAGAAGCCACCAATTTTATGAGATTACAGTTATTGAAGAGTCTAGAATATTTTTCTTCTTACATTCATATTTATAGATACCCTAAATTAATTAGTGATAAGGAGAAACAACCATGACGAGTTAAGAACAGGACTTCAAATTTCAATGTTAAGATTTTTAGCATAATCTGTTTATTTAGAAAAGAATGCACACACATTGCTTCATTTTTAACAAAACCTACATTAATCTTTACTACTATCATTCCCAGGATCCCAAGTCATGGACTAGAAGTCCAGCAAGACAATGGGAGAGTGCTGAGGATATTGACTGGGAGTTCCTTCCCAACCTGACGGGCAACATGCAAGACAGCACAAAGGTGCATGTTTGAAAATGTGGACGATGGCATCAAGGGTGGATAATACCTCTTGATGGTGAATGAGAGATGATAGGTTGTGAAAGAGACAAGCAGCTTTTGTTTAATGCAACAGAGAGCAGGGACCCAGTGAAGGCATGTGAAGAGAAAGAGACGATAGTCTAATGAAGGATCTTTGCAGCACATTCTGAATGGATATGAGGTGATTTGTCAAGACCAGAACAAGGAACCCTACAAGGGTGTTGTAGGAATAGAGATGCAAGATGATGAGAGCCTGCAGAGAGTCTTAGCCATGTTGATAGACAGAAAAAGCCTTATCTTAAAGAGATTTATATAAAGCTAGATCTAGACATAGCTAAACATGTAATTTGGTGTATTGAAAGCTCTACTGAAATTGTAAGTTGTTAGTTTAAATGTTGAGGGTTTTTGCTGGTCCTGCTCTGTAAATAAGTGTGCAATCTGGGCCTACCAACAATCATTCAGCAGATAGCCCATATTAATCTAGGCTAAGTTGTTTTAGGAAGAATCCTGCTTTCAAGTAGGAATAAGAAATCCTCCGGAAAAGGGCTTATTTTCCGGAGAATCGTGTCTAGACTGGCGCTTTTCTCCGGTTTATCCCCAAGCTGGAAAAAAGCAGCAGCCATGTAAATGCAAATGCCGCGGGGGATATTTAAATCCCCCACGGATTTGCAATTCCGACTCGTCACATTAGCATTCCTTTTCCGGAAAGGGATGCCAATGTAGACGTAGCCGAGATGTTTGAGGATGGAATTGTAGGAGTGGGCTGCCTGAGATGGTAAACAGTGTATTCAATGAGCTTAGGGATGGAAGGGAAAGGAGCAATGGTTGGAGAGGCAAATGGAGTCAAGCATTTCTCCGTAGCACTTACAGCAAGTAATCTTGCTAGGCAGCTAGAGTGCATTGCCCCACTCTACTAAATTCATTATGTCGTTAAAATGTTTCCAGTAAATGTCCAACTGCAAATATATCTGTCTTAAAAAGGCTACTTCTCCATCCTCCCATGAAGGAAAGTAAGTGGAAGGGTGTATAACAGCACTACTCAGCCATACTTTCCCTTAGCTCTAGATATGATATATTACTCAAATAGCTTTAAAAGGCTTTAGAATATCCTTTTTTCAAAAATGTTGAATGGTCTTTTTTGTTGTTCTGGCCACTTAATATTTGCACTGATCTCTGAATATATTTTTGATTGATCCCATGTTACCCATTTCACTGAGGGTATGTCTACACTACCCTCCTAGTTCGAACTAGGAGGGTAGTGTAGACATACCCTCAGTGCAAATGAAGCCCGGGATTTGAATTTCCCGGGCTTCATTTGCATAA